TCATTCACTCCCCTCAGAATGTCCCCTGCATGACCAGAATAAAAGGGGTGAGTTTCTATTATTATTAACACCGGGGTTCATAAGCCTTTCCTATGTGGCAGGCATTACACTCAGTATATTTCTATCTCTATCTAACTATCTTCCACTGATTTAATTCTCACAGTACCTCAGGGAGGAGAACTACGAATGTCTTCATTTCACAGGTGAAGAAATGGAGAAGTAAGAGTTTAAGGAAGTTGCCCAAGTCACAAAGCCAGTGAGAGAAGGCAGAGTCAGAATGTGACACAGGAAGGTCCAACCCCAAAGCCTACTCTCCTCTCTGTGAAATCACCTGCTGCAGGCCAAAAGCGTAAGAAGCAGAGAGAAAGGAGGTGTCTACGCTGGGGAGACAGCGCCTCAAAGTCCCTTATGGGTTCAAACAAGCAGACATGCAATAAACAAGTCTCTGAAGATGAAGCTCCAGCTCACCTTCTTCTGCAGAACTTTGCACGTTGCAAAAGCTCCAAATGGAATCTAAGATAAGATAAAGAAAAGTAAGTGTCTCCCCTCCTGCCAGTGTTTAGCTTGTTCTCTGAGTGGCATTCACGTGAGGAAGAGACAGGCAGGGGGTGAACAAGGGCAGAACGCCACAGCAGGTGGCAGTGCTGAGCCCAGGGGCAAGGCTGGTGAGCAGTGGTGCTGGGGATGTGGCCAGCCCTTCCCTCAGTCAGCTGGCAGGAGACTGCTCTGCCCCACCCACCCTGTCCCCATTGTGAACCCCTTCAGGGGCTGGAGAATGCCAGGCCCTTCCAGCAACCTAGGAGTCTATGGGTACATTTTCTACCTAGACTCCTCGACTCTTGGAGACTACGTTATATTGAGGCCAAAGTACCATCTCAATTCTTTTGCACAAGAACAAAATCTAAGGAAACATCTCGTGACTAGAGCTTCTGGCCTTTCTAAAGCCCTAGTCCACCTCCGTCTTTCCTAGGGACACGTGATCCAAGAAAATGGGACAGATCCAATTCACAGCCCAACACTATGCTCAGTTTACCTCTGAGAGCTCACATTTAGAGATGTCGAGAATGTCATCTGCCCCAGCTTCTTTTGCCTAAGGATAAAAAGAATTTTTAAAAAGTATTAAGACAAAACATCTTTGCAGAGTGGACAAGCCAGGCAAAGAACATACACGTAAGCAGCAGCAAAGGACCATAGACACTATCTGGTTCCACCGGTCCAGTAAACCAATGACGCCTGCTTTCCCGGAGCTTGAGGCCCAGAGGGATGAGGAACTGAAAAGCAGTGACAGTGCGCTCAGTCTACAGGGGAGAAGCACCCTTGACAAGGGACCTCATCTGTTGGGTCTAAGTCAGCTATTTCTTCTGCAGGTGGGGGAGGGAGCATGGCTTGTCGGGGGCAGTGCGGAGGCCTACTCCTTGGGGACTGAGGAGGAGTTGGGATAGAGTTAGAGGAAACCCACTTTCCCTCACCAAACACATCTGGTACTCCAGGCGCTTCCGAGCCTCCTCACTGGGTTTCCGCTTCCGGAAGAAGAGTGGCATCCTTCCCTTTTCGCAGAGTGATCTGGAGGACCCTGGGGCACAGGAGAGAAGTTAGGAACTGGGGAATTTGTCACAGCCCCCAACACCCAGGACAGGTAGCGCAGTAACACAACGTATGCAGCTGGTCTGTTGGACCATGAGTTCCATGGAGGCAGCAGCCGCATCTTTCTAGTGAGTTCCATGGAGGCAGTGGCTGCCTCTTTCTAGTGAGTTCCAAGGGGGCAGGGGCTGTGTCTTTCTAGTGAGTTCAACGGGGACAGCGACTGCATGTTTCTAGTGAGTTCCACGGGGGCAGCGGCTGCGTCTTTCTAGTGAATTCCACGGGGGCAGGGGCTGCATCTTTCTAGTGAGTTCCATGGTGCAGGGGCTGTGTCTTTCTAGTGAGTTCCATGGGGTCAGGGGTCACATCTTTCTAGTGAGTTCCATGGGCGCAGGGGCTGTCTTTCTAGTGAGTTTCATGGAGGCAGGGGCCGTGTCTTTCTAGTGAGTTCCAAGGTGCAGGGGCCGTGTCTTTCTAGTGAGTTCCATGGTGCAGGGGCTGTGTCTTTCTAGTGAGTTCCATGGGGTCAGGGGTCACAGCTTTCTAATGAGTTCCATGGGCGCAGGGGCTGCATCTTTCTAGTGAATTCCATGGGCACAGGGGCTGTGTCTTTCTAGTGAGTTTCATGGAGGCAGGGGCCATGTCTTTCCAGTGAGTTCATTGGGGTCAGGAGTCACATCTATCTACCAAGTTCCATGGGGCCAGGGGCTGCGTCTTTCTAGTACTGGTTCCATGGAGGCAGGGGCTGCGTCTTTCTAGTGATTTCCATGGGGCCAGGGGCTGTCTTCCTAATGAGTTCCATGGAGCCAGGGACTGCATCTTCCTAGTTCCATGGAGTTCCATAGGGGCAGGGGCCACGACTTTCTAGTGAGTTCCATGGGGTCAGGGGCTGCATCTTTCTAGTGAGTTTCATGGGGTCAGGGGCTGCATCTTTCCAGTGAGTTCCATGGGGTCAGGGGTTGCATCTTTCTAGTGAGTTCCATGGGGTCAGGGGATGCGTCTTTCTAGTCCTTCTGTCAGTGTCCTGAGCCCACAACAGGCGCTCAGTACTCCTTGTTCTTTGTTGACTAAACATTAAGCAGCAGGATGAGGTGGAGACAAAGACAAGCCAGATGACCTGGGTTGGGGCCCACATTTGCCACCGATCTATAGTGAGGTCTTGGCATTATCCTTTTCCTGTTCTGGGGAAACTTAGAGAAGTTTCCTCAGGCGCTTTCCAAGGCTGTTCTTTGAGGACTCTAACAGACTCTGCCAATGAATCACTTCTAGCCCCCTAGACACTGTCGGAGTGGGATCAGCAGGAACAAACCAGAGCCAGCCAGGACCTTGGGGAGCTCAACTACATCATGACCAAAGAGACCTCTGCGGTGAATACAAATTAAAAAGCAATCCTCAGCTTGCCACCCTCAGTTATTATTCCATTTTATTCTCACTATATCCCTATTTAAAGTGAAGAAACAGGCCGGGTGTGGTGGCTCATGCCTGTAATCCCAGCTCTTTGGGAGGCCAAGATGGGTGGGTCACTTGAGCCCAGCCTGGGTAACATGGTGAAACTCCATCTCTACTAAAAATACACAAAGTAGCTGGGCGTGGTGACGTGCGCCTGTAGTCCCAGCTACTTGGAAGGCTGAGGCACGAGAATCACTTGAACCCAGGAGGCGGAGGTAGCAGTGAGCCGAGATCACGCCACTGCACTCCAGCCTCGGTGACAGAGGGAGACTCTGTCTCAGAAAATAAGAATAAAGAAATAAATAAAGTGAAGAAGCAGATGCTTATTAAGTTCAGTGGCCTGGCTGTACAGCCTGGATTGCAGCCTGGAAGCCAGCCTGGAACCGTGGTCTCTCAAGTCCTGACCTGTGGGATTTGCCCGACTCCTTGGTGCTCACATAACTTGGCACACACGAAGTACACTGTCCTGAACTCAGAGCCAGGTGCTCACTGCCTGCCCAGGGCCTGCACAGTGTCTGTAAATATCAGAGCAGGATAAGGGATGGCAATGAGCCAGGAAGCAATCACCCAGGGAAGTGCATGGTGAGCAGCACAGGCTTTGGGATGAAAAAGAACTGGATTTGAATCCGAGATCTGCCACCCACGACCGCTGAGGTCACCTTGGTTCACCTCTCAGAGCCTCAGTTTCCTCATCTGTAAAGTTTAAGTAACCATGCTATCAACACTGGCTTCTGTGAGGATCCAATGACTTCATATATGTCAAGCGCATAATACAGGACCTGGCACATGAGTGCTCAATAAATGTGAGCCACAAAGCACCCACATGCAAGCAGCATTGATTCAGGGCCCACTAGAGGAGCTAGGGAGAAGACAGCCCTGGGAAGAGATGCAGCTGAAGAAGACATACACCCAGTCCTCAGAGGGATGGGCAGAGATGGCAGCTCTGCACCCACAGGGGCGGGGCTGTCTGGGGAGGCAGCCAGGCCTGCAGAGCCAGCTCAGGACCTTCTTGTCACTCCACCTGCCTGCAAGGATGGGGAATGGTTTGAAAACAGCCCTCTCCCATCACTCCCTGATGACCAGCACTTACCCTTCTGCTCCCCAGTCACTAACCCTCCTGCACCCCCTTCCCGATGTGCAGCCCTCCCCCCGACTTCCTCCCAACCACCATCGCTCTCCCACCCCTCCCAGAAGATCAGCTCTTTCCAGGCTGCCCCACATGCCTGTCCCTCCCTTTCCGACGTCCAGCCTAGATGTGGGGGGAGGGCCACATCCATATTTCCTAGGGTGGGGTGGGCAGTGGCTGACCTGGCTTTGCGGATGGAGGGGTCCCCCACGTTGGGAACCGCGGGTGCACTCGAGGGCAGGCTGATCACTCGGAGGGCTTGGTCACGGACTCGGGGCCGCAGACCACCCGGCACGGGCCGGGCGGAGCCGGAGTCTGGTCTCCTTCAAACGCAGGTGCTGGGGACAAACTCAGAATCTCAGAAAGTCACGCAGACCGGGATGACGAAGTCTGAGGCTCTAGAAACCGCAGACTCTTAGAATGAAAAGCGGGACTGGATTTCCACATAAATAGACTGTTTTGATAACTAAAGTGCACACACCAAGTGCTGGAGGGGGCAGGGGTCGCTGTGGTACTGGGGTCTCGGAATGGGACAACGGACCCCTCAGGGGAGGGGCGGGGCTCTGGGATTGGGTGTTGGGGACCGGGGTGACACTTACGATTAAGGAATATGGGAAACAGCTAGGTCTGGGATCACGGGAGCAACCCCTCTTCTCAGACGTCTCCGGAGCGAACTGCCCGATCTCCCTTTCGGAATCTCTAGCTTCAGCGCACGGCGGTACCCAGCTCGCCAGCCTTCAGCCTCAGGCGCCTGCCCACAACAAACATGGCGACAAAAAGCGTCTCTGGAAGGCTGGGCAGTGACGACAGTTCTCGCGATAGCCGCGTTTTCCTGCCTATATCCGGCGTCGTCCGCGCGATTTCCGGCCTCTCGGCTTTCGGCTCGGAGGGGGCGAAGGTGCAACTTTCTTCGGTCGTCCCGAATCCGGGTTCATCCGACACCAGCCGCCTCCACCATGCCGCCGAAGTTCGACCCCAACGAGATCAAAGTCGGTGCGTGCTCTAGTTGTGGCCGGGGCTGCGGGATGGACCTTCCCTCGGCCCCGCCGCACGTGCAAAGCTTTCTAATATGGGGCTCTGAAAGCCGCTGCCTCCTAGAGGCCTTCCCGGTGCTGCGCCGTCCTGGCCAAGCCTCAGTCTCTCTGGGCCTTAGCTTCTCCACGTGTAGGTGGGGAGGGAGGACCGAACCACCTGTGGCGGCTTGGGAGCCCGTAGGCCCTAGGGTAAGGCTTGTCTTCGGGCGTTTCGACCCACTGGCCTGGGTTCGCGGGCGACGGGGCTCTCTCCACGCCTCCGCGGTGTGAGGTTCGGAGCTGCCCACGCACGAGGGAGGAGCGGGTGGCCGGCCTCACTCTCGGTGCTGTTTGGAGAAGAGGCAGAGGGTGGTGTGTCCAGCCCCGGAAAGATGCTGAGAGGGCTGTGGCTCGGGGGCTCCCTCTGCAGCGACACTAACCCTTCTTTTCCTCCAGTATACCTGAGGTGCACCGGAGGTGAAGTCGGTGCCACTTCTGCGCTGGCCCCCAAGATCGGCCCCCTGGGTCTGGTACGTCATCCCCGCCAAGGGGCTTGTTTTCACTTACAGAGCAGAGTTAAGCGCCGGCTCGTGGAGTCACGACTGTGCCAGAGGTGCCCTCGTGGCTTGGATTGTCACCCTCACTAGGCCTGAGCCAATGACTAGTATTAGGTACCTTAGGAAGGTCGTGCGTGAAACATCGAACCTGGTGCCTTTAAATTGTAATTAGCTCCATGTGTCTCCACTGCTGCTTTGGGGCACCTGAGGGGTGGGCCCAAGGGGTTTTGAAGTTAGGAGTAGCTTAGTGACATTGGGCAGCCAATATCTGTATTTCCTCGTCAGGGAAGTGGGCATGGCATTGTTGGGAAGATTAAATGGGGTGTGGGTGAAGATCCAGTGAGGGTTACCAGCTGTGTTGTAGATGTAAACCTAGCAGTTAACGTGACAGGCTGTGCCTTATGCCTGCTGAGTAACTGCTGGCTTCCCCGTCATTCTGTACTCTTGGATTTCCCTGAGTTTCATTAGGCCTTTATGTAATCCTTGCACAGCGGTCCCCTGTCCCAAATGCTCTTCCCCATTGGTCTTTCTTAACCTGTATCTTAACTACTCTTCCTTGGCCCTTAGCTCAGCTGGCACTTAAGGGACACTTAGCAAATAATCAGACACCCATCCAGGCAGATGGACGTGGGTGGTCTGACATGGGAACCTAATATTTTGAAAGCTCCTTAGGTGATTCTAATGTGAGCAGGGCTGAAAATCCCCCTCCTTAAGCACATAGGCACTTAGGAGGGGTCTAGATTCCATTGTGGCCAAGTCTGCAGTTTACAGTCCTGGACAAGACAACCCCAACCCCCAGTTTATGCTATGGTGATAGCTGTGCTGAAGGTGGGAAGGTGCCCTTAAGTACTTGAGATGTTGCCAAGTGAGAAGTGGTGGGCAGGTTTCAAGGCTGTAGTTCACATCTGGACACCATGTTGATTACATTCCTGTATTTCCAGTCTCCGAAAAAGGTTGGTGATGACATTGCCAAGGCAACGGGTGACTGGAAGGGCCTGAGGATTACAGTGAAACTGACCATTCAGAACAGACAGGCCCAGGTATTTACTTGTGCTTGGTTTTGGGATTGGAGGGTGGGGGGACAGAGGTAACAACCCTCTGGGATTCCTGAATAGAGTATTTCTGCCACCATTGGTGAGCTGAGTGATTTTACCTTGTTGGGGAGGCTTTGTCAAGAGTATGGACCTAGGGCAGAGACTTGGATAGTGTGTGGCCATGATTTTTGAAAGTCAGCATGCTTTCAAAAGCAGTATTCATTGGAGGTGGAGTATTAACTCAAGAATCTCCTCTGCAGATTGAGGTGGTGCCTTCTGCCTCTGCCCTGATCATCAAAGCCCTCAAGGAACCACCAAGAGACAGAAAGAAACAGAAAAACAGTGAGTTGTCTTTTCCCTAGTTTGGTTTTGGTAATGGTTTGTGAGATGTTTGATATATATGGCTGTTTTCCCTTAAAGGAAACCTGGGGTTGACATGGCTATTGGGTGTTGATACGGTTAAGGCTGCTAGAGCCAGGTAGTATCAAAAAGTGCCATATTTGCTGGGTGGCTCACACCTGTGTAATCCCAGCACTCTGGGAGGCTGAGGCAGGCGGATCACTTGAGGTCAGGAGTTTGAGACCAGCCTGGCCAACATGGTGAAACCCCCATCTCCACCAAAAAATACGAAAATTATCCTGGTGGTGCTTGCCTGTAGTCCTGGCTACTCTGATGACTGAGGCAGGAGAATCACTCGAACCCGAGAGGTGGAGGTGGTAGCAGTGAGCCAGATTCGTGCCACTGCACTACAGCCTGGGTGACAGTGAGACACTGTCTCAAAAAAAAAAAAAAGTGCCCACGTAGTCCCTGTGTGGGGCAGGCCCCAGTCAGTGCATGTGGGAGGAAGACGTCAGCAACAGTGACCTATAATCAGGAGAGCACATAGAGCCGGCAGGTACTGGGCAGTTTAACTGTCCTTGGCAATTTAAGCTTGTCATTTCTCATCTCTAAAACAGTTTCTGCCATGTCAGATTTGGGAAGGCTTGGTTTTGCCCTCAGCCACCCGCCACTGCACCTGACCAGGTCTCTGTTGGCTGGTGCAATCCAGTGGTGAGCTGATAGTAAACCCCAGCTTAGGAAACAGGGTTGTTCTTCATGTGGATGACTCTGTGCCGAAAGCATGGGAACAGCCTAGAAATGAAATGAAGGACACATGATCTGCTTTGGCTTCAGACTGTAACAGAGCTTTTGCTGTTTTCTCTTCTGCAGTTAAACACAGTGGGAACATCACTTTTGATGAGATCATCAACATTGCTCGACAGATGCGGCACCGATCCTTAGCCAGAGAACTCTCTGGTAAGAGCAGGACAACATGTAACTGCTGTAACTGCAGTTGTGTTTTCACTGAGTGATGACATTCTTCCCACTTAAAGGGTGCTCAGTGAGACCCAAGATGGGGTGCAGTTTTCTGAGACTGAAAGAATGGATGGCTCTTAAATTGGATGTGTTTAATCTGGGCATCAAGGACCCATGGAAGCTTTGCATTCAGGGTCATGGGACCAGATGGAGCTCTGCACTCTATTAGGGGAGCAGGAACCTCATTCTTTCCATTGCCTGCTATGAACCCCTTGAGTATTCCCCAGTATGAGAATTATGAGGGACTGAGCCAGCACCTCCAGTGTCACCATTTCTTTACTAAAGGAACCATTAAAGAGATCCTGGGGACTGCCCAGTCTGTGGGCTGTAATGTTGATGGCCGCCACCCTCATGACATCATAGATGACATCAACAGTGGTGCTGTGGAATGCCCAGCCGTAAGTGACTTTTTTGCTTCATTTTCCATTGTTACAATAGGGGCAAAAGGGGGGCCACCCAATGTATTCACAGAGATAAGCTGGGAAGTTTTGGAAATGGTCACTGGTGGGGTTGGAATAATCCTTTTAAACTTTCCCTTTTACTGATAGACTTTTTTTCCTTTCCCACAGAGTTAAGCACAAAGGAAAGTATTTCAATAAAGGATCATTTGACAACTGGTGGATTTTTTGGTGTGGCGTCTTCCTTGAGGGAGCTAGCTCCTTTGTAGGGTAGTCAATGGGGTTAAGGTGGCAGAGCCTGTGGAGAAGTAACAAGCACCTTGTAGTGGGTAACAAAACTGCCCTGTATGGGCTGGGTTGCCTCAGAAAGGAAGTTTTTTTTTTTTTGGAGATGGAGTTTCCGCTCTTGTTGCCCAGGCTAGAGTGCAATGGCGCGATCTTGGTTCACCACAACCTCTGCCTTCCATGTTCAAGCAATTCTCCAGCCTCAGCCTCCTGAGTAGCTGGGATTACAGACACATGCTACCACGCCCGGCTAATTTTTATTTTTAGTAAAAACAAGGTTTCGCCATATTGGTCAGGCTGGTCTCGAACTCCTGACCTCGATCTGCCTGCCTTTGGCCTCCCAAAGTGTTGGGATTACAGGCGTGAGCCACCATGCCTGGCCAGGAAACACTTCTTATAGACTATAGTGAAGCCTTTCCTAAGAAATGCTCTAACAAAACCTGAACACATGGGGAGTGTAGCTGTCCATTCCTAACCAACTGAAGTTACAGTGGGTTGGGGGCCCAGGACCCGTTTTGCTAGGCATTCCAGTGCACAGCCAGGGCTCAGAACCAGTGATACAACAAATAAACCTGACCACTCTCCTGGACTAAGGATTAGTCCTGGACTAATCCTTTGGTTCTGTGAAAGTGAGGTTCACGTCATCTGTTTAACTGTAAACTGTTATTCCAACCTTTTCTCTGAACTCAGGTGGCTTACAGTATTTGCTGTCTCACCTTGTCTCAAGTCTCATCTTCCCACAGTTGTTCCTTCTGATCAACTTTCTAGAGCCTGTGCTCATCACTCCCTTTTGTTTTAAGATGAACCTTGAAGCACGACCTGGGAGAGGATTCTGGGTACTGGAGTAAAGGGAAATGGTGGCCCAGAGAAATTGATTTTCCCTTTATGACTCATTTGTTTGCACATTAGTTTTCGCCAGTGGTCTCTAGGTCAGTGCTTTTATGTCACCCCAGGTTGGAGAACTACCTTAAGTGGAAAGGACTACCTGGACCCCCTGAGTTAGGGAGAGGATTCTATTTCGGATACAGTGGCTTTTGCCTGTAATCCCAGAACTTTGGGAGACTGCGGCAGGAGCATTCCTTGAGGTCAGGAATTAAGACCAGCCTGGGCAACATAGCCAGACACTTTCTCCAAAAAGCTAGCTGGGTGTGGTGGCTTGTGTGCCTGGCTACTTGTGATGCTGAGGTGGTAGGGTGCGGAAGTAGAGACTTCAGCAAGCTATGGTTATACCACTGCACTCCAGCCTAGGTGAGAATGAGGGGCTAGCACAAAAGCATTCCAGTGTCCTAGAAGGAACTGCACCAAGTCACCAAGGAAACAGTAAATAAGACAGTAAGCAGGCCAAAGGCAAAAGTCTGGATCTGTAATAGAAGGGGAGCACTACTGTTCTCCATGAGGGAGAAAGGAGAATGAGGAGCCGGGGGCAGTTTATGGCTCACCTGCCTCTGAGTCCAGCATGGCTGTCACACCTGCCCGTTCTGGGTGCTTCCTATTCTCCATGGAAAGGGATGTGCCTCCCAATTCATTAGCAGCACACTCTACCCTCAACACGAGTAATCTCTGGGTGGGCTCTTTTTTGTTGAGATGCAGTCTTGCTCTTGCCCAGGCTGGAGTGCAGTGTTGCAATCTTGGCCCACTGCAATCTCTGCCTCCTGGGTTCAAGTGATTCTCCTGCTTCAGCCTCCTGAGTAGCTGGGATTACAGGCACGTGCCACCGCACCCCACAAGTTTTTGTATTTTTAGTGGAGATGGGGTTTCACCATGTTGGTCAGGCTGGTCTCAAACTCCTGACCTTGTGATCTGCCTGGGTGGGCTCTTTCTAACAGTAACAAGCTCTACAAAGGCTGGGCCTGGCTGTGCTTTTCTGAGTTTTGGAACATCAAGGAATGTTCCCCACCTCAAGGAGATTCTGGTATTTCATAGTTGGCCCTAGAATCCCTTTTCTCACTTGTATTTGTATTTACACCCCTTGCCCCAAATTTGATGGTTTTTCAATCATTTCTGGCCAATGCTCTGAGTTCTTTCACAACATTTCTCATTACTTCCAGGAGAAACTGCCAGCATTGCCCAAAGACTTGGCTTTGATGTAGGAGCCAAGTTCTTTACTCATTCATTTGGTCACTTACTCCGAATAAACTCAGGTTTCTGGAATGCTTACCAAATAAAGTGCTCTGGCCCACTGTCTGAATAAAGGCAAACCTGCAACTGAATGGAGCCCTGGATCTTTTGATGCTTGCAGAAAGGTGTTATAGAGCTGAGCGTCCACACACAGCATGTGAAATAGTGGCTATTTACTGAATTGCATGTGGCTCTGGGCTGCAGACTCTAAGTTAGATGTCTTCAGATGCTTTCGAGCCTTTAGCATTTCTCAGGTCCTCACCCATCTGTCCTGAGTCGGCATGTCCAGGACTCTCCACTTCCACCATGTTCCTGGTTACTCTCCGGCGTGGAGTCTCTGATGTCTGATGAAGGCAGAGCTGCACCGGAAGGCCTTCCCACACTCGCTGCATTCATAGGGTTTCACGCCCGTGTGGATTCTCTGATGCTGACTAAGGGATGAGCTCTGGTTAAACGCTTTACCACACTCGTTACACTCATAAGGTTTTTCTCCGGTGTGGATTATGTGATGTCGAATGAGGGCTGAGCTCTCACTGAAGAATTTCCCACATTCGTTACATTTATATGGCTTCTCCCCGGTGTGGGTCTTTTGGTGGATTATGAGATTCGTACTCTGGCTGAAGGCCTTCCCACACTCGCTGCACTTGTAGGGTTTCTCCCCGGTGTGAGTCCTCTGATGGTTTGTGAGGTTTGCACTCTGGCTGAAGGCCTTCCCACACGCAGCACATCTGTAGGGCTTCTCCCCGGTGTGAATCCTCTGGTGCTGAATGAACGCTGCGCAGTAACTGAAGGCCTTCCCACACTCGCTGCACTTGTAGGGCTTCTCCCCAGTGTGAGTCCTCTGGTGGTTCGTGAGGTTTGCGCTGTGACGGAAGGCCTTCCCACAGTCGCTGCATTCGTAGGGCTTCTCTCCGGTATGAATTCTCTGATGCTGAACAAGAGCTGAGCAGTCACTGAAGGCTTTCTCACACTCGCTGCATCTGTAGGGCTTTTCTCCGGTGTGAGTTCGCTGGTGTTTGGTGAGGTTGGCGTTCTGGCTGAAGGCTCTTCCACATTCACTGCACTTGTAAGGTTTCTCTCCAGTGTGAATCCTCTGGTGCTGAATGAGAGAGGAGCTCTGGCTGAAGGCCTTCCCACACTCATTGCACTCATAGGGCTTCTCTCCAGTGTGGCTCTTCTGATGCTGAGAAAGGGAAGAACAGTAACTGAAGGCTTTGCCACATTCATTACATGCATACGGTTTCGCTCTGTGAGGTTTCGTGGTTTCCGAGTTCTTGAAGCGCTTGGTGTGCGTCTCACGTTTGCGAGGTCTCGCTTCCACGGGCACTCTCTGTTGCGGAGAGAGGACTGGTCTCAGGCTGAAGCTCTTCTCAAGCTCACTGGTCCTGTGGTCTGAGTCCCCAGGGGGCATCTCTACATGTGGGTCTTGGAATGATTCTTCAGAAAGGGCTTGCTGTAGTGGTGATTCAGATACAATCTTCCAGCCTGAAAAAAAAAGTGAGAAAAGCCGTTGTGTTCCCTTGGTGGAAGGAAAACCAAAGGCTGAAGGAGTCTGGCCAAGCTCTTACACACACAGGTTTGATGACTCACCTCCTTTCATAAGAGTGTAATGGAGCCTACTACCTACTGAATTCAAAGCCATCATGATGTTGTAGTGCAATGCATTACTCACGTTTGTGGTGATGCTAGTGTAAAAAAATCTACTGCATTGCCAGTCATATGAAAGTATAGCACATACAATTATGCACTGTACATAATACTTAATAAACAACTACGTTACCAGTTTACATATTTACTATACTTAATATATACTTTTAATTGAGACAGAGTCTCACTCAGGCTGGAGGGCGGTGGCATAGTCACAGCTCACTGCAGCCTCAGCCTCCTGGGCTCAAGCGATCCTGCCACCTCAGTCTCCTGAATAGCTGGAACTACAGGAGCACACCACCATCCCTGGGTAATTTTGATATTTTGGAGAGACAGGGTCTCCCCACATTGGCCTGGCTGGTCTCGAACTCCTAGACTCAAGTGACCCTCCTGCCTCGGCCTTCCAAAGTGCTGGGGATTAAAGGTGTGAGCCACCACACCCAGCCTATACTATGCTTTTAATAGTTATTTTACACTGTACTCCTTCCACTAAAAAAAAAAAAAGTTATCTGTAAAACTGCCTCAGGCAGGTCCTTCAGGAGGTTTTCCAGAAGGTACTGTTATCTTAGAGATGACAGCTCCATGCTTGTTATTGCCCCTGAAGATCTTCCAGTTGGACAAGATATGGAGGTGTAGACAGTGATATGCATGATTCCATCAGGTCTGGGCTAATGTGTGAGTTTCTTAGTTTTTAACAAGAGTTTAAAAATAAAAATAGTACTACACACACACACACACACACACACACACACACACACACACACACACATTTTGAGACAGGATCTCACTGTCGCCCAGGCTGGAGCACAGTGGCACGATCATGGCTCACTGCAACCTCGACCCCCTGGGCTCAAGTGATCCTCCCACCTCAGCCTCTGAGCAGCTGGTACTACAGGCCTGTGCTACCACATCCAGCTAGTTTTTGTATTTTTTGTTGAGATAGGGTTTTGCCAAGTTGTCTGGGCTGGTCTCAAACTCCTGGGCTCAAGCGATCCTCCCACCTCAGCCTCCCAAAGAAAACTGTGTAAAGTAAACTTAGTGTAGCCTTAGTGCACAGTATTTCTAAAGTCCATGTACAGCAATGCCCTCAGCCTTCACATCCACCTACCACTCACTCACTCACTCACTCACCCAGAGTCCTGCAAGCTCCACTCATGGTAAGTGCCCTATACAGGTGTACTATTTTTTATCTTTTATACTGTATTTTTACCATACCTTTTATTTTTATTTTTTGAGATGGAGTTTCGCTCTTGTTGCCCAGGCCGGAATGCAATGGTGTGATCTTGGCTCACTGCAGCCTCTGCCTCCCGAGTTCAAGCGATTCTCCTGCCACAGCCTCCCAAGCAGCTGGGATTACAGGCATGCACCACCACGCCCGGCTAATTTTGTATTTTTAGTAGAGACAGGGTTTCACCACGTTGGCCAGGCTGATCTTGAACTCCTGACCTCAGGTGATCCACTCACCTCAGCCTCCCAAAGTGCTGGGATTACAGGCATGAGCCACCACGCCCAGCCTGATGTGGAGTTTCACTCTTGTTGCCCAGGATGGAGTGCAATGGTGTGATCTCAGCTCACTGCAACCCCCACCTCCTGGGTTCAAGCAATTCTCCTGCCTCAGCCTCCCAAGTAGCTGGGATTACAAGCATGCGCCACCATGCCTGGCTAATTTTGCATTTTTAGTAGAGACAGGGTTTCAATATGTTGGTCAGGCTGATCTCGAACTCCTGACCTCAGGTGATCCACCCACCTCGGCCTCCCAAAGTGCTGAGATTACAGGTGTGAGCCACCACACCTGACCTTGAATTTCTATACACAGTCTTCAACCAGACTGCCTGGGTTCAAATCTGGGTTTCACCTCTTACGTGCTCTGTGATTTTGGGCAAACTGTGTAATCTTTTAAAACTTTGGATTTATCACCTGTGAAAGCAGCTCCCTCATACAATCACTGTGAGGATTAAATGAGTTAAGACACATAAAGGACCCAGAATGGTAGCTGAGACACAGTAAGTGCTATCTGCGTGGTTGTTACTCTGGACCTTCTCCTTATAAACCATCCTAAAGCATGAAGTAGGCTTCCCTCAGAACTGCAAGTGCACACCAATGCCCCCAGTCAACCAAGAGCACAGAGGCCCCCATTGCAGGCTGAGCGCGTCTCCGTGTAACTTGGGAGTCCGATCATCTATGGGTTTGACAGTTTTTAAAAGCAGACCATCTCTTTGCGTTTAAAAAAAAAAAATCAAAAGAAGAGGAAGAGTGACAAGAAAAAAAGCCAAGGGAAGAAGGGGCAATTCAGAGGACCATGTGATGCTCACAAACGGCCTGTCCCTCAGCTCACCTCTCTCGAGTGCTGGCTCCAGTAGAAGACTGATGACATCTCAGGCCTGACACACTCCAAACAGAGCTACTCATCTCCCTTTTAACCCAGCACCTTTGTTAATCTTCCTGCTTACCCAACTGATCAGGCCAAAACCTAGGGTCATCCTTAATGCCTCCTCCTCTACATCTCACATCCAATCCACCAGCAAGTCCTGTTGGCTTTAACACCAAAATATGTCCTGACCCCTCTCTTACAGGCCACCATCACCTCATTCCCATGTCTGCAAGAGCCGCCTCCTAACTCACCTCCCCGCTCCCATGCCTGACCGCGAATGTCCATTCTTCACACATACACTGAATTCTTTTTCACCAGTGTCACTTGCCAAATGCTGAATTCTTTTAAAACATAAATCTCATCCCTTGCCTGCGTCAAAACTCTTTAATGGCTTATTTTCTTAGGTGACTAAAATCCAAACGCCTTACCATGGTTTCAGTGCCCCCGCACAATCTGTCCCCTGCACACCACTCTTCCTCGTGTTTACTAAGCTCTGGCCACACAGGTTTTCTAATCCTTAAGCAAGCTCATTCCCACATCAAGGTCTCAACATACGCTGTGGCCCAGAATGTTCCTCTCCTAGGTCTCCTCCACACAGCTGGCTCATCCCCTTCCTTCAGATCTCGGCTCCAATGTCATCTCCAAAGAGTCTTTCCTCTTCATCAGCTCTCCAACAGCTCCCTCCCCTCTATTCCCAACTCAGCCTTGTGCCCCAGTCACTAATCCCTTGTATTGCTTTATTTTCTTCACACAACTCATCACCATAAAAAGTAGATTAGTTATTGTTTGCTCAGTTTATGTTCTTCACGAAGATGTAAGCAGAGACTATGTCCTCATCCCCCGCGCAACAAAGGGGATACATTTTACCCATGGCAGCTAAAATGATGCCAGGTACATACCAAATGCTTAATGCACATTTGCTGATTGATGAATGATTCAATGAATCAGAATTAGTACAACTGGCCAGCAGGGTCTGGGAAAGTGTTAACACCCACCACAGAAGTCCCTAAAATGAGCAGCAGGGAGAATGGCACTTTCAACTCCTGAGTCTGCCACTTGGGAGGGGTAGGGTAGAATAACCCAGGGCCCAAACCCAGCTCTCAGAGGCACAGTGATGCCCAGGACATGCTGTGAGTTAGAGCAGAGGCCATGTTGAGCTCCTCTAATGGCCAGAGTGGAAACTTGCGCCCGACGACTTCTGTTCACTATCATATAGCTTACATAACTCTTCAGTAGGCAACTTTTTTCATATATGTGTTAATTGGTGAAAGAAGAAAGACTTTATCATCTACTTTTTCATATATGGAAACATGACTACATAATTCAGTGGTGTGCCTGGAATCCATGTAGTTAATGCATGGCAAGCAGGGATTTTGAGTATATGTCTTTCATACTCAATGAGGTATTATAAGATATACGTGTATATGTGTGTGTGCGTGTGTATTTCACCCACAGTTCCTGGCTCATAACTCCCATAGCCACTGCTACAGTCTTTTTTTTTTTTTTTTTTGAGACAGAGTCTCGCTTAGTCACCCAGGCTGGAGTGCAGTGGCACGATCTTGGCTCATGGCAGTCTCTGCCTCCTGGGTTCAAGCGATTCTTGTGCCTCAGCCTCCCAAGTAGCTGGGACTATAGGCTTGGGCCACCACACCCAGCTAATTTTTGTATTTTTAGTAGAGATGGGGTTTCCCCATGTTGGCCAGGCTGGTCTCAAACTCCCGTCCTCAGGTGATCTGCCCAACTCGGCCTCCCAAAGTGCTGGGATTACAGGTGTGAGCCACTGCGCCCCGCCATTGCTACAGTCTTCTGTTAAAACGTCAGAGCACTTTAGGCCTCAGAAACAGACTCTCTCTCTCTCTGACTTCCCCTGCCCAAGCAGGACTCTAGTCTGACTGTGGCCGTACGACCCTCATTCCAGAGAAGATCCTGCCCCATACCCCGGAAGAAGGAACGCTGCACCGAGGCCAAGAAGAATCTGCACAGGAAGGCTCTGTCGGGTGTCCCCACTCGTCTACTTGTGTTCAATCAGGCCCTTTCTGTCCAATCTCATTACAACATGCTGTCCGTGCTTCAGTCACGCCTATCCAATGAATCAAAGGCCCAGGCAGGCAGGGTTTGGAGAGCTTCCAGACAGCGGAACACAGGGAGGCTCCCGCAGGGCGGCTGTCCAGGGAAGGCATGAAAGCTCCCTGCACCTTCTCCACACCTCGTCCCATGCATCTCTTCATCTTCATCTTTTCTAAAATAAGTGCTTCCCCAAGTTCTGTGTCCTTTCTCTAACAAATCAATGTAATCCAAAGAGGGGTCGTGGGCACCCCAATCTGAAGCCAGTGTAGTTCTGGAGGCCTGGACTTGCGACTGGTGGGAAGGGGCAGGGGGCACCTTGTGGGACTGAGCCCTCAACCCGTGGGATCTGATGCTATCTCCAGGTAGACGGTGTCTGCTACAAAATTAATTGCTTGCTTGGTCAGCGTGGGGGAAAACCCCACCCCTCTCTGCTCACAGAAGTCTCCTATGTTGACTCCTGCTGTGTATAGGTGCAGAGGTTGTGGTTTTCCGCTCAGGGGCACCCACACCCAGAGCTGCTTCTACTGCCCTACACTGCTGCCTCAGAGCACCTCCTCAGCGGAAATACCCCTTTCCAACTTCTGTTTCTAATGATGTGGTGATTTTAACCTTTGGGACCACTGTACTGGGGTGAACAGTGTCCCACATCATGTCCACCTCAAAGTACAGAATGTGTCCCTGCTTGGAAACAAAGTCTTTGTAGATGTAATCAAGCTAAAATGAGGCCATACTGGATTAGGGTATATTAATGCCCTAAAATGAAGGAAATCCAGACACAGGAGAATGCCACATGAAGACAGGGACAGAGATTGCAGTGATGCAGCTAAAAGTCAACGAACACCGAAGATTGCTGGCAACCACCAGAAACTTGAAAGAGGCAAGGGAAGATCCTTCCCAGAGCCTGCAGAAGGAGCCCGGCCCCGCTGACACCTCGGTTTCAGACCTCTAGCCTCCAGAACTGTGAGCGAATCAACTGCTATTGTTTTAGTCCACCCAGTTTGTGGTTATTTTTTATGAGAGCCCAAAAAAACTAATACAGCAAGCTTTTCAGGGTCTTGAATCCCTCTGAGACTATCATGAACACTCTTCCCAGAAAAATGCAGTTGTTCCCCTCACCACTAAACACTGCTCTCCATTTCTGAAGCTCCACAAAGGACTTCAGTCCTCTGTGTAGACTGTATAGAACAGAGAGATGCCCAGGCAGGGGGCCTTGGGAGAAGAAGGCAGCAGGGCCAGGGAGGCTCCCTGCCACAGGCAGTGTCAATAAGCATCAGTGGTGCTGGGCATGCCACAAGGGTGAGGTAACATGCAACAGGCTGCTTAGAGGATGGTAAGATGGGAAGGAGAAGAGGCAGCTCCATGGAATCATGCAAAGAATGCTCCCGGGGCTTTGTGCCGATTGCCCTATCAGCAGCAATAACTTATAACTCAAGAAATAAAGCAACAAATAGACAGGTTGCATCTTATTTTTATTTATTTTTTTTAAGACAGAGTTTCACTCTTGTTGCCCAGGCTGGAGTGCAATGGCACGATCTCGGCTCATTGCAACCTCCGCCTCCCAGGTTCAAGTGATTCTCCTGCCTCAGCCTCCTGGAGTAGCTGGCATTACATGCATCCGCCACCATGCCCAGCTAATTTTTTTGTATTTTTAGTTGAGACGGGGTTTCACCGTGTTGGCCAGGTTGGTCTTGAACTCCTAACCTCAGGTGATCCACCTGCCTCGGCCTCCCCGAGTGCTGGGATTACAGGCGTAAGCCACCATGCCCGGCCCAGGCTACATCTTTAGAAACATGTCAAATGTTGTCACCTCAAACTGGTTTAATTCATTTGTACCTTTGATGCCTTAAGTCTCAAACATCAAAAGTGACTGGGTCCCCAGGGAAAAACTGCTGAGGCCCTGCCAGAGGTGGCACCAGGGCAGAGGCTGAGAGAGATGAGGGGAGAGAGCTGCTGTACATGGGTGGTAAGAGAGATGCAGTGGAAACTATGGTCTCCTTTCCTTCTGTTTTCCCTGAGTTTCTTAGTATCCGCCCTTTGGAAAATTCTGGCATGGCCACGCAGTAAGAAAGGAGGAGCAGAATGAATTAAGGGGCCAGATAGGGTGGCAGCAGGAGCTGTGACACCCAGTGGCATGCGTAAAGCTGGCACCTAGGATCCTCAGTGAGGGAGACCCCAAGCAAGGAATGTGCCAACAAAGATGACTCTTGCTTCCCAACAATAAGGAAGGATACTCTTTGGAGGCCAGGGACATCACACGTGCCCCCAAACACCTCCCAGCCCTGGGAGCCTCCGTAAGGATGAGGTGAGGAAGAGTGTGTTTTAGAGGCAGACAGAGCTTGCTTCAAATCCCAGCCTTGCCACTATCTAGCTGTGAAGCTTTGAACCAGTGAGCCAGCCTCTCTCAGCATCACTTCCTCATCTGTAGAATGGGGTGATAGCGCCTACCTCACAATTGTTATGATAATCAAATGCACTCATGTGTGATTTAAAGGGGCTTTTGCTCCCAAGACTCCCATTGGCTAAGTGCTTGCTCACATACCTGGAGAGGGACTTCGCACGTCTTCGCCCTCCAGCATCCATGTGCCTTCCCTTTGTTCCAACTGGGAGTTCATGCCAGGCTGGGAAACTGGAAGTCCTATTCAACGGGAAAAACAGGCTTTAGAAATTGTAAGTTAAGTATGAACAGCCACCTAGAACTCAGGGGAGAGCAAGCAGCCCAGTCGGATTGTTCATTTCATCCAGACGGCAAATACTTATTGAGCACTTACTTGGTGCCTGCACCAGGGGCTACAGCAGTACATAAGAGATATGGTGCCAAGGTCTTTTTAAACATCCTTTTAATTTGAGAGACAGGGTCTCACTGTGTTCCTCAGGCTGGTCTCAAGTGACTGTTCCGCCTTGGCCTCCCAAAATGCTGGGATTGCAGGTGACAGCCACCTCACCCGGCCATGCCAAGGCTGTATAAAACATTTCTGGAAGGAGCTAGGAAACAGCCTCAAGGAGGGGTCAAGCCAGGGAGCTAAGCTAAACTCACAAGTTCCCAATTTAGGAAGATGGAAACTTACTGAACATAGAGGAAATGACCTGAGGGTTACCCCATTCCTCCTGGGAAATGAGAGAATGGGGAGGTACAGCCTTGGGGAAAGCAAAGGGAAACTGCCTATTTGCCAAGTGGGCATGCAGAGACCTTCCCCAAGAGAACAAGAGGAATAGACACCATCGCTCTGGTACATCACAGCTGTCAGAAAGCCCTACACACTGGAAAGCAAGTGCCATGGATTTTCAGAATTGAGTGAATCGAAATCTTAAACCATTTCCTTACCTAGTAGGACAAGGTTCCTGGACTTTTCTGGTATCCCCTCCTTGTACCTCTCCCTCGGAGTAGACACGAGGCACCTCCACCCTTCTTGTGCAAAAGCTACTGTCACACTGCTGAAGAATGTGGATCCCTGAAAAAACAAGCACATTTCATCTTGCCAGTGGCCTTAGGATCTAGGGTGATGGGGTGGTTAACGTTGGCGGTTTTGGGGGAGCTGGAAAAGTCTTCGAAAAGATTCAGGTCTCTGGGTAGTTGAAGAAAGTGGCCGGCCGCAGTGGCTCACACCTGGAATCCCAGCACCTTGGGAAGCCAGGAGGCGAGGCAGGTGGGTCACTTGAGGCTAGGAGTTCAAGACCAGCCTGGCCAATATGGTGAAACCCTGTCTCTAATAAAAATACAAAAATTAGTTGGGTGTGGTGGCAGGTGCCTGTAAGTCCCAGCTTCTCAGGAGGCTGAGGCAGGAGAATTGCTTGAACCCGGGAGGCAGAGCTTGCAGTGAGCTGAGATCGTGCCACTGCACTCCAGCCTGTGTGACACAGCGAGACTCCATCTCAAAAGAGAAAGCCTTTATTGATCACCAGCACTGCAGTGCCTAACACTAAGATAATCTGCCATACACACACACACTCACACACACACACACACTACTGTCTCTTGTCTTCACACATTTATAATTCTAGTAGACTATAAATAAAGTGTGTGTGTGCGTGTGAAGTAACTGGGCAAAAATTAATGGGTGCTTGGGACTTGAAGAGAGAATACAGAAAGAGCAAAATTAGAATGTGAGTTGATACAGTGAAGAGTCAGGTACAAATTATCAGAGAAATGTGAAAGATGAATTTTCAGAACATTTAACAAATATTTCTGTGAACGCAGATATCACCCAGTACAACAGGAGAGCCAAGTATGCACACAATCAAATGTAGCACGAGTCAAAGAAACAGACTAGTTGCCAGGAGAACAGAAAGGCGGGGAGGAAGGACCACAGAGTGAAGGCAATTACTGAGCTGGCCTTGAAGCAGAAGGTTTCCAGATGGAGCAAGAGAAGGTTATCCAAGGCAGGAGAGGCACCATGAGCAGAAGCATGGAGGCGAGACAGTCCTTGTGTGTTTAGGAAATGGCAGGCAGTTTGGGTGGGGGGATGAAACGTGGCAGAAAGGTTGTTGAGGTCAGAATGTAAAAAGCCTTGAATCACTTGATAAATGTGATGCTTTTATGCCTCAGGCAACAGGGAGCTGCTGGAAGGCAACTGTGTCTTGAGATGGAGGCATGGAGAGGTGGTTTTAAGAACTCCAACAGTGTCAGTGTCAAGTTGAGAGAGGATCCTGCTTGAGGAGAGGGACTAGATGCAAAGCCAGAAATGAACTTTGTGAGAAAAGAGTTGAGAATGCATCAAAGATGTTTCCTGCTTGGAAGACCAGACAGATGACAGTGTCATCACAAAGAGAAGAAACATGGGAAGAAGGGGTCTGTTAGCAAGGGAACTAGTTTGTTTTGGGGCCCACAGAGTTTAAGGTGGCCATAGGAAATCCAGGTGCAGATGTTCTATCACAGGTGAAAACATGGATCTGGAGTTAGGAGACTCTGGGCAGGAGCTATAAGGCACGCGGGTCAGGTGAAGCTGTTCACATAACACAGCGGCACCTACTCCATGTAATACATCCTCTGCTAGGTACAGGGCGTGGGGGCAGGGGTAGCCAGATGGAAAGCGAAGAAACGAATCAGGAGATAACACAGTATTAACCTAACGCAGAAATCGTCTCCTGGCCAGGCCTCACAGGAACCTCAAACTCAACAAAACGCAACAGAGACACCCATCTTCACCTGCTGTTCCTCGTCTGTTCCCAGCTCAGGCAATGGGGCCTTTGTTCACCTAGTTGGCCAAGCCAGGAACCTGGGTGTTATCCTCTCCTTTCGTGCAGCATCAATCCCTATTGATTCTTCCTCCTAATATCATGAGAATTCACCCATTTATTTCCACTCCCCTACCACTGCCTTGCAAACCAGCAACAGTTTCCATATCGGAACCAGTCTCCGGGCCTCTGATTTTACCTGCTCTTCCAATCCATTCATCACACCGAGAGGTTCTTTCAGTGGAACAAAGAGGGTCACCTTTTAAAATGAAGAAATATTTATGCAGGTGGATCATCTGAGGTCAGGAGTTCGAGACCACCCTGGCCAACATGGTGAAACCCCATCTCTATTAAAAATATAAAAAACTAAAAAATATTTAAAATCTTTGTGTAACTTTAAAATAATCAAGAAAGTAACATCCATTATAAAGATATAACGTCACGAACCAAATAACAAGGAAATATATAATACGTAAAGAAAAAGCTGCAGGAAATGCAAAGAGAAATTTAGAATATTAGGATTTTGAGAGATGTTAAGGTAACTCAGTCATTGACAGCCTAAAGTAAATAAACAACAAAAAGAATAAAGACATGGAAGATGCAACAATTTAATAAGGTTGAGCTGACAGAGCTATCAAACGCTATATCCTGCAATCAGACTGCACTGGCATTTTGTGTTGACAAGAGACACAAACTCCATCCTCATAAAGCACACACCAGCCACATAGGCAGATAAAGAAATCAAAATCAAATTTTGGAGTATCTAAAAAAAATAAATACACAGCCAAAAACTTTCAACGTAAACAAGGAAGGAAGAAGGGGAGTTAAGGATTCAACTCAAGAAGTTAAAAAATGAATTTTTTTTTTTTTTTTTTGAGACGGAGTCTTGCTCTGTCGCCCAGGCTGGAGTGCAGTGGCGTGATCTCAGCTCACTACAAGCTCTGCCCCCTGGGTTTACGCCATTCTCCTGCCTCAGCCTCCCGTGTAGCTAGGACTATAGGCACCCGCCACCACGCCCGGCTAATTTTTTTTGTTTTTTTGTATTTTTAGTAGAGATGGGGTTTCACCATGTTAGCCAGGATGGTCTCGATCTCCTGACCTCGTGATCCACCTGTCTCGGCCTCCCAAAGTGCTGGGATTACAGGCGTGAGCCACTGCGCCCGGCCAAAAAATGAATTTTAAAATAAACCTGAGGAAAGCAGAAGCAAAAGATTAATAAAGAAAAAATATATTAATAAAGAGCAGAACTGACAAGGAAATCCAAGAGCAAATTTTAAAAACGAAAATAAAGAGCTAATTACCTAGTCAAGAAAAAAGGACAGTTCCTACTCTCATAGGACTATGTGAAAGAAACATGTGTTAGAGAGCAGGGCACTGGCACAAAAACAGACACACGGACCCAGAAAGGAGAACCCGGAAATAAAGCCGCACACCTCTAACCACCTGATCTTCAACAAAGTCGACAGAAACAAGCAATGGGAAAAAGACTCCCTACTCAATCAATGGTGCTGGGATAGCTGGCTAGCCATATGTAGAAGAGTGAAACTGGGCCCCTACCTTTCACCATCTACAAAAATTAACTCAAGATGGATTAAAGATTTAAATGTAAAACCTTCAACTGTAAAAACCATACAAGAAAACCAAGGAAATACCCTTCTCGACCTTGGCTCTGGCAAAGAATTCTTGGCTTAAGTCTTCGAAAGCAATTGCAACAAAAACGAAAACTGACAAGTGAGACCTTACTAAAGAGCTTCTATACAGCAAAAGAAAACTATCAGGGCCAGGCGCGGTGGCTCACACTTGTAATCTTAGCACTTTGGAAGGCCAAGGCAGGACGATCACCTGAGGTTAAGAGTTTGAGACCAGCCTAGCCAAAAAGGTAAAACCCAGTCTCTACTAAAAATACAAAAATTAGCTGGGTCTGGTGGTAATCCCAGCTACTCAGGAGGCTGAGGCATGAGGATCGCTTGAGCCTGGGGGGTGGAAGTTGCAGTGAGCTTAGATTGTGCCACTGTACTCCAGACAGGGTGACAAAGTAAGATTCTGTCTCTACAAAAAAAAAAAAACAACTATCAACAGAATCAACACACAACTGAAAGAATGGGAAAAGATATTCAAAAATTTGCATCCGACAAAGGTCTAATCTCCAGAATCTATAGAACTTAAAAGCAACAAGCAAAAAACAACCACGTTAAAAAGCAGGAAAAGACATGAGCAGACACACTTAAAAGACATACAAGTGGCCAACAAACAGATGAAAAAATGCTCATCATCACTAACCACCAGAGAAATGTAAATTAAAACCATGACAAGAGATTCTGTCACACCAGAAATAATGGCTAATATGAAAAAGTAAAAATTAACAGATGCCGGTGAGGCTGCAGAGAAAAGGGAAAGGTTGTAACTGCTGATGGGAAAGTTAACTAAATTAGTTCAGTCACTCTGGAAAAACAGTTTGGATAGTTCTCAAAAAACTTAAAACAGAGCTACCATTCGACCCGGCAATCCCATTACTGTGTAAATACTCAAAGGAAAAGAAGTCATTCTACCAAAAGACGCATGCATGTGCATGTGCCTCATCGTGCTGTTCACAACAGCCAAGACATGGAGTCAACCCAGGTGCCCACCAATGCTGGTCGAGATAAAGAAAATTCCACATGTGGAATAGGAAATACATGTGGAATACGATGCAGCCATAAAAAATGAAGTTATGTCCTTTGCAGTGACATGGACGCATCTGGAGTCCATTACCTTAAGTGAATTAATGCAGGAAGAGAAAACCAAATACTGCATGTTATCATTGATAAGTGGGGAAGCTAAACACCAAGTATATATAGACACAAAGATGGGAACAAAAACCACTGGGGACTACTAGAGGGAGGAGAGAGAAAAGGGGGCATCAGCTAAAAAACTACCTATGGGGTACTATGCTCCCTACCTGAGTGATGGTATCATCTGTACCCCAAACCCTGGCATCACAGAATACAACCATTTAATAAGCCTGCACACATACCCCTGAATCTAAACTAGTAAGGTGAAATTATTTAAGAGAAAAAAAAAGAATGTATTAGAAATGATTTGGTAAAACATGCAGTGAAATGGGAGAACGTTCATCGAATTCTGCTAAGTGAGATAGAAACATGACAGAGCAGAATAAACCCACTTTGAGAATATGAGCTGGGCACCGTGGCTCAAGCCTATAGTTCCAGCACTTTGGGAGGCTGAGGCAGGTGGATCACTTGAGGTCAGGAGTTCCAGGTCAGCCTGGTCAACATGGTGAAACCCTATCTCTACTAAAAATACAAAAATTAGCCAGGTGTGGTAGGGCGCACCTGTAATCCCAGCTACTTGGGAGGCCGAGGCAGGAGAATCGCTTGAACCTGGGAGGTGGAGGTTTCAGTGAGCCAAGATTGCGTCACTGTACTCCAGCCTGAGCGACAGAGCAAGACTCCAAAAAAAAAAAAAAAAAAGAAAGAAAGAAAAAAGAGAATATGATGGAAAGGACAAAAATCAAAATGTTAGATGCCATCTTTTTGTGGGATTAAGAGTGATTTTTAACTTTTTGTGTTTTCTCTATTTTCCAGGTTTTCTGTGAACATGAATTACTTTGTTCATTGCAGAAAACTTGTAAAAAACAAAACAAAACAAAACCAACAAGCAGGTGATCGGGTGGGATGGCCCACACCTGTAATCCTAGCACTTTGGGAGGCCAAGGCTGGAGGATGGCTTGAGTCCAGGAGTTCAAGACCAGACTGGGCAACATGGCAAAACCCTGACTCTACAAAACTTAAAAAAAAAATTAGTTGGGCATGGTGGCACGAGCCTGTGGTCCCAGCTACTTGGGAGGCTGAGGTGGGAGGATCACTTGAGCTCTGGAGGTCGAGGCTGCAGTGAGTCGTGATTGCACCACTGCACTGCACCCTAGGTGACAGACTGAGGCCCTGTCTCAAAAAAAAAAAAATAAAACAGGCCAGGCGCGGTGGCTCACACCTGTAATCCCAGCACTTTGGGAGGCCGAGGCGGGCAGATCACTTGAGGTCAGGAGCTCGAGACCAGCCTGGCCAACATGGTGAAACCCCATCTCTACTAAAAATACAAAAAAAGTAGCTGGGTGTGGTGGTGCGTGCCTGTAATCCCAGCTAACCGCGAGCTGAGGCAAGAGAATTGCTTGAACCCAGGAGGTGGAGGATACAGTGAGCCAAGATCATGCCGCTGCACTCCAGCCTGGAGTGAGACTCAGTCTCAAAAAATAAAGAAAGAAAGAAAACAAACAAATGACAACAAAAAACAAGCCAACCCTACCATTAATATTAGGGGGGAAGAAAAGGATGCCTCCCAAAGTTAATTTCCTACTTACCCGGGGCCCAGCTGTGAGGAGACCAGCAGCCATTCCTTCCTCTCCTGTATTTTCCTCTTGGGGAAGGGCAGGGTCTGGGGAAGGCAGTACTAAAGAAAGAGAACCAAACGAATAAGGTTAAAAGCAGTTTAGGAAGTCACCAATTCTCACTGTGAAGAGGGGACATAGCAGGTACCTACAGGGCACGTGGGCTGAATCTACAGACCTGCAGTGTGATGTAAATTTCTCCATTCCCTCCTACCTCAGAAATACCATCAACTCAGGCATTAGAGTGTTAACAGACTCACAAGTATCCATGATCTGCCACTCAGCAGCAGTGTGAAAATCATGTAACCTCTCTAAGTCTCATTTTTCTCATCTGCAAAATAGGGATGATAACCCCTTGTAAGGTTGCCATGGAGATTAAAGGAACATACAGATAAAGCACTTGGCAAATGCCCAGCACTTAAGTATACAGCTTAAAGAGATTATCTATTACTTAGTTCTTTGAAGAAAGTGGCTCTGCAAATTTAAGGCATTTGCTTAAATGAAGAGGTCTGGGCAGAGAGTCTCACGTCACACCATATATAAAAATTAACTCAAAAACAGATCAGAGACCTAAAGTTAAGTAGTAAAACTCTTGGTCAGGCGCGGTGGCTCACGCCTGTAATCCCAGCACTTTGGGAGGCTGATGTGGGCAGACTGCTTGAGCCCAGGAGTTCGAGACCAGCCTGGGAAACATGGCGAGACCCCATCTCTATTAAAAATACAAAAATTAGCCAGGCTTGGTAGTGCATGCCGATAGCCCTAGCTACTTGGGGGGCTGAGGTGAGGGGATCGCTTGAGCTAGGGAGGTCGAGGCTGTAGCAAGCTGTGATCACACCACCGCACTCCAGCCTGGTTGACAGAGACACTACTTAAAAAAAAAAAAAAAAAAATGGGTAGAACTCTTGGAAGAAAACCATACATCTTTGAGAGTTTGGATTAGGCAATGAGTTCTTACATATGACACCAAAAGCACAAGCAGCAAAAGAAAAAATAGGTAAGTTGGATTTCTTCAAAATTAAAAACTTTGTGCTCCAACAGGCCCTGTCAAGAAAGTGAAGAGGCTGGAGCCCAAGAGTTCCAGATCAGCCTGGGCAACATGGTGAAACCCCGTCTCTACTAAAAATACAAAAATTAGCCATGGTAGTGCACGCCTGCAGGCCCAGCTACCTGGGGGGCTGAGGTGGAAAGACGGCTTGAGCCCAGGAGGCACAGGTTGCAGTGACCTGAGATCACACCATTACGCTCCAGCCTGGACAACAAAGCAAGACTCTCCCTCAAAAAAAGAAAAAAAAAAAATTTAGTTATTGACTGGGTACAGTGGCTCACACTTCTAATCCCAGCACTTTGGGAGGCCAAAATGCTGGCTTAGCACATCACTTTCTGTGTATGTGTGTTTTTTTTTTTTTTGAGATGGAGTTTCCCTCTTGTTGCCCAGGCTGGAGTGCAATGGCACAATCTCGGCTCACTGCAACCTCCAACTGCCGAGTTCAAGCGATTCTCCTACCTCAGCCTCCCGAGTAGCTGGGATTACAGGCACGCACCACCACACCTGGCTAATTATTATTATTATTTTTTTAAGTAGATGGGGTTTCACCATGTTGGCCAGGCTGGTCTTGAACTCCTGACCTTAAGTGATCTGCTTGCCTAGGCCTCCCAAAGTGCTAGGATTACAGGTGTGAGCCACTGTGTCTGGCCCTACTAAATTCTTAAATGGGCAAAAGATTTGAATAGCTATTTCTCCAAGCAAGAGATACAAATAGCCACTCCACACATGAAACTGAACATCATTCATCATTGGGGAAAAGCAAATGAAAACCACAATGAGAGAACACATCACACCTACTAACATGACTATAATAAACAAGATGGAGAATAACAAGTGTTGATGAGGATGTGAGGAAACTGGAAACTTCATACACTGCTGAGAATAGAAAATGATGCTGCCACAGTGGAAAAAGTTCAGCAGTTCCTATGAAAGTTAAACAGGGTTGTATGACACAGTAATTCCACTTCTAGGTATATGCCCAAGAGAAATAAAACATACACACACACAAAACTTCACTGAAGAATGGATACACAAAACGTGATCCTTCCGTACAATGGAGTATTATTCTACCATGAAAAGGGATGAAGTACTGACACATGGTATAACCTGGATGAACCTTGAAAATGATGTGCTAAGCGAGACACAAAAGGTCACATATTGGCGGGGTGCAGTGGCTCACACCTGTAATCCCAGCACTTTGGAAGGCCGAGGCAAGTGAATCACCTGAGGTCAGGAGTTCAAGACCAGCCTGGCCAACATAGCGAAATCCTGTCTCTACTAAAAATACAAAAATTAGCTGGGTGTGGTGGCAGGTGCCTGTAATCCAACTACTCGGGAGGCTGAGGCAGGAGAATCACTTGAACCTGGCAGGCGGAGGCTGCAGTGAGCCAAGACTGCACCATTGCACTCCAGCCTGGGCAACAAGAGCAAAACTCCGTCTCAAAAAAAAAACAAAAAACAAAAAAAGGTCACATATTATGAGTCCACTTATTTAAAATGTCCTAGGCAAATCCATAATGACAGAAAGTAGATTAGTGGTTGCCAGGAACTTGTGGAGAAATGAGGGACTGGGGAGTGACTGCTAAAGGCTACAGGGTTTCTTCTTCAGTTAACAAAAATGTTCTGGAATTAAATAGTGATGGTTGCAGGACTGTGAAAATACTAAAAATCACCGAATTGTTCACTTTAAAAGGATGACTATTATGGTATGTGAATGATATCTGAATAAAACAAATAAATAGATCTGGATTCTGATCTTAGGACAGACCTTTTGTTACTGAGAGTTATCTAACCTGACAGCACTTCCTTTCCTTTTTTGTAGTATGGGGAAGATGATGACCATCTGCTCTGCTTTCTCAGGTCTCTGGGGAAGATAAAACAAAATGCTGGATGTGAAATCGCACTCTCTACTCCTCAAGTGCAAGACCAAATATAAGGACCTCTTGGCCAGGAGCAGAGGCTCACGCCTGTAATCCCAGCACCTTGGGAGGCCGAAGCCAGTGGATCACTTGAGGTCGGGAGTTTGAGACCAGCTTGGCCAACATGGTGAAACCCCATCTCTACTAAAAATACAAAAATTAGCCGGACGTGGTGTCGGGCGCCTGTAGTCCCAGCTACTCGGGAGGCTGAGGCAGGAGAATCGCTTGAACCTGGGAGGCGGAGGTTGTAGTCAGCCGAGATTGTGCCACTGCATTCCAGCCTCAGCGACAGAGCGAGACTTCGTCTCAAAAACAAAACAAAACAAATCAAAAACAAATATAAGGACCTCTTGATCTTGGAGACGGCACCAAATTCTGGATGTAAAATTGCAGTTGTAGAGTAACAGACTAAATACAGTTGATCTAGGGGGTGAACAACAGCACAGGTGTTGGTGGTTAAGACTTAAAAGAGGTTGCCTGCTTACACATTTGTTCTGTACCACATTCAGGGTGCTTTCAAAAGTGTTATTTCATTTGAGGATCACAATTCTCAGAGGTAAACAAAGTAGTTAACGTTATTTTGTCCTTTCTTCCATGGAGAAATACAGGTTAAGAGACCTGGCTGGTACCTCACAGCTTTCACAAGAACCTGTGCCTTCTAACTGCAAATTCCCCCATCCTCCACAACTTCACAATCCTACTGGGCTGGCCTGCCCTCAAACTTTCCCGGGCTTCCAGGCATCCCTGGCTGCTTCGAGAAGGGCTAGAAGAAGAAAAGCGACAAAGGAGTCCTCAGGAACCCACTTCTCCCTACTCTCCACTGTCATTGGTCCATCAGGCAGACTGGGGTACGTGGTACAATACTCAGAAATCACGCAGGTATGAGGTCCTCAAACTTTTTTGACCCCCGAATTCTTTACTCAAAAAAGGATTTGTAGGGGCACATGTTCTCAGGATCTCCTGGGGCTGTGTCAAGGGCAAAGCAAGAAAAAAGGATTGTCTCCAACTACCTGTAAGAGAGATAAAAAGAGTTCTGATCCGGCTCACACAGCGGCAGTCGTGGGCAAACGAAGCAGCAGCCGATCTCTTGACGATCGCTCCCTCTACCACTCCTCACCTCCTTCCTCCAGCATTTGAGTTCCACCTCGCGCCACAGCCTCCCAGCAGTTCTCTGGGCGTCAGGGTCTATGTATAGCAGCCCCCACCCCGTTCTGCAGGGCTGCTCCGATGGCTCCCAGGCGGGACTCTTCCTCTCCAGCCACACCCCGTAGAGGCACGGTTTGATCCTGCGGTGCTGGGTCGCGGGAGATAGGACTGGGCCTGCCCAGCTGGGTGTTCCACTCCGTCTCCCGAGTCACAGCCACTCTTTGGCTCGGCCTCAAGCAGAACCCGGTGAAAAAGTCGCTGCCGGCTTTCCGAAAACGACTGGCAACTGGCAACTGGCAACAATCGACCGGCAACCGCTAGAGCTCAAGAACCACTGTGCAGGTACTGCCCAACACCAGGTCCCGGCTACGGCGCCAGAGGGACGCGCCTGAGTGGCGTCACTTCCGGTCATGCGCACACGCCCAGCGGCGGCCTTCCCGGATTCCATTTCCCAGAAGTCGCCGCGGGGCTGTTTCTGGCCAGTCTTTCATTCCTGCCGCCAGGTTTGTGATACACACGCGCTCAGGGATTGTACTTCCCAGAGACGCTTCCGCCTGTGCTTGCTCCCAGAATATATTATCCGTCGTGCTTTTTTGTTGCATACGTCTTTAAAGTCCAGCAGAATCCAACGGTACCGAGCTTTGGAGACAGGAAGCGACTTAGCCGCGAGGGATCCTGGGAACGCTGGGTTTACGCAGGCGCCTGTCTTCGCTGGCTCTAGGCACCAGGTTTCCCCTCCGCGGTTCGCTGCGCGCGGTACGCCTGTCCCTGCTTGGCCTTCCATTCAGGGCAGTCCCCAGCCACCCTCAGGGTCCTCTTGAGCCGTACTAAAAGTTTGGGAAGACTAAAGGAAACGAGATGTCCCTCAGTCTGAACAGGACAGCCGTGGGTGGGTGGCCTGGGGCCCTCCAAGTATGAAAACCTATGGGCCGGCGGAACCGCTTCAGTCATTTCAGGGGCAGTGTTTGATCAGCGCTTTTGCGGGAGGAGGTTCCTGAATACTGTGTCCCTTAAGGGCTTCCCTGTTGTAGGCTGGGGATGTTTCAGTGGGCTTTCCCTCGAGCCCATTGGAAATCACTTCTCAAGCAATTTTCCGATGATCAACTCCTTTTTATATGCATTTTGTCGTTAAGGGGAGGGGACTGGGTTACCCAGGAAAGAAGTGAGTATGGGAATTCTAAGGCCCCTTTTCATTTTGTGGTTGTCTCTGTCCCTTTCAATCACAGCTGGTGGCATTTTTGCCAGTGTATGTTTCTTAATTTTGTGGGTCTTCCTATGAATCTTACTGGGATTCGCTCCATCGGACAAGCCACAGTCACAAATGTCTTTGAGCTAGCGCTTCTCTACCTTGGGCAGCTGTAGTTTGGGGCTTACAGTTTTGTAAGAAGTCTGAAGTGGGTCTTGTCATGCACGTCCGTGTGAAGAGACCACCAGACAGGCTTTGTGTGAGCAATAAAGCTTTTTAATCACCTGGGTGCAGGCGGGCTGAGTCCCAAAAGAGAGTGAGATAGGGGTGAGGCCGGTTTACAGGAATTGGATAGGTAGTGGAAAATTACAGTCAAAGGGGATTGTTCTCTGGCGGGCAGGGATGGGGGTTCGCAAGGTGCTCAGTGGGGAAGCTTTT